ATTTCTTCAGGAAGAGAATGTTTCCAGAAACCAGAAAAAAAAAAAAAAAGTGAAGCGGCCCCATGACCTTCAAAATAATATTTGATCAAAGTGATTGATCAGATCACTTGAAAGATTTAGAAGAGAACTCCATTAAAACCTCTTTTTTTTTTTTTTTCCCAAAGCTTCATAAAAAGGAAGGGAAACAATTGATTAAAAATGCTTATTAGAAGATGTATATTAAAGCTGTGTTTTTCACAACTGAACTCCTCTTGCAAACAAAGGATTTGCTCCTACGGAAGATGCGTTTGTTAGCCCTGCTGCAGAGGTGGGAGCTCCAGGAGCTCTCGCCACCCGCTCCTGGTGCAGGGTCCCCAGCCAGGTCGCCCGGTCCCCACCACCAGCTCCTCGGTGCCTCCATGACTCTTTGAGCTCTCCGGTTTACATTTATAGGCCAACCATTTGATAAAATACATGAAAGTGGCAAGACACTTGCTATTCCATATGGACAGGCTATAAAAGGRAACCACTGGCTTGCCACGCTGGCTGACACAGGACACCAACGCGTTGGATTATCTTCCATGTCTGCTGTGCCTCAATGTCTCCCCAGACTTGGAACTGCTCTCTGGAGCATTATAGGAAAAACACCAAACCCAACCCAAAAGAAAAAATAAATAAATAAATAAAAAAGATAGAGCTGAACCCTGTTAATTTTGCAGTTTAAATTGTTTGAAAAAATTGTCTTCAACAGTGATGCTCCTCTTATGACACAATCTTTCTAGTTCATTAAACGCATTAAGCGACGAGTTGCAGAGCCCCAGCGTAATGCCATCCTAAGCTGGCTGGTGACCTGATGCTATGAAATTAAAAATGACAATGGGTTCTGCGCTGCAGCTCGGAAGAGTCTAATTTCACTTCCCTGTTAAGCTTTCAGACGAAGCAGATTATAGGAGACGAATTCGTGTCCCGTAGGACATAATCAGCAATTAATAATGACATCTGAGTTGGCAAATTGGGTCTTTGTAGTGTACTGGTTCCACGCGCTCAAAGGAGATGTTGTGTTGGAGACCAGTTCCCCCTGGCTCTAGCACAGGGCACTTGTCCATCCTGCCTGGATAGGAGACAAACTTGTGTTTCAAAACCCTTTCCAGAATATTTTTGTAGGCAACTGAGGACTGACAGAAGGGCTTAAATAATATAAAAAGAATAAAAAGTAGGGCTAGGATAGATTTTCCTGAAAGCTTTAATTACAGTTTTAAAGCAGAAACTTAAACAAGTTTTAAAATAAGAATGGTTTTAAAGAAATGTATTGTGACCTTGCAAATTACTGCTAACGTTATGCAAAATCACAATGGTAAAAGTTACATAAATAGTGTAAGTTGCTTAACTCATAAATTATCATTGACTCATAAATTACCATGAAAATGGTGCATATTGAGAGTACAATGAAGTCTTTACCAGGTGCTGGGCTTCAGATCATAGATTGGAAGGACATGGAGCATTGGAGATAGATCACATCTAGCTTTTGTGTGGGTGTCAGGAGCCCTCTCAACACCTTCCAGCTCTTGCTGAAGGGTGAAGCTCCAGGGTTGCCCTGGCATGAACATCAAGGACGGGTTGTCCTCATCTAGCAGGAAAATGCAGAGCAGATGTGCAAAGGTACAAACTGAGCTTGTGGTCCACAGAGGTCCACATTGCGGCCGTTCCTTTGGATATACTTGACCTCGGAGGAAAGGAAGAAAGGAAGAAAGAAAGAAGAAGCAGGGGAGAACAGCCCTCCTGGGGGACTTTCACAGGAAAAGCGTGTTTCCCACTCAGAAGGTGTAAACAGACAGAAGAAGTGAAGGGGCTTTGCTGCAAAATGTCCTTCCCAAATGCCACGCTTGTGGGGCGGCTTCACACACTGCTGGGAAGGGAACCCAGCAGTGTCAGAACTGGCTGCAGTCCTGATGGTGCTTAAAAAATGAGACATGCAGCCTGCGCTTCACAAAAAGGAGAATAGGCTTGAAATGCTCTGGTTTTAGGCTATTTAAAATGTGATTCTTATTGATATGAGTCATCGCTCTGTTCCCAGTTGCTCGGGTAATAAATGCTTATGTGAACAAGGTTGGCGCATTTGGGCATGTAAGCAATGGTCATAATGTTATTTGGTGGAGTAAATCCTGGGTTTGTGGAAAACTGGGTGTTGCTTTTTTAACTTGAGTATTTCTGTTCTTTTCCTCTGGGTTCTGGAGGAAAATAGAAGTTGGTTTTTAAGACCAAGGTTTTATTTCATTGAAAAAAAATGTCAGTTCATAAAAACTAGAGGTAAAGGTCAGTTTTACAAATGTTCAAGTGAAGAAAAAAAGAAATATTGAAAAACAATTCAAAATTATCTTAATTTCTTTGGATATGTGTTAAATGAAAACTGCAGTTTTCTCAGAAGCATATTTTTCACAATTTAATTACTGTATATTAATTAAGATGCACAGCAAAAAGGTCAGTGCTCAATCACGGTATGTTTAAAATAACAAAAGAAGATAATTCAGCAGATTTGGTATAAGTCTGTTTATTGATTACCATTTATTATAATCAATGTATTTTTATTTTTAATCCTTTTTCTTGGGGTAAAAGCATCTGGTGTCCCAAACATCAGCACGAGAAACCTATTTCTTGCCCAGCTCTACTCAAAATGCAGGTTCATTTTAGTATAAACACGTTCCTTCTACTGAAAGGTCAAAACAGAAACGGTCTTTTACTGTCAGCCTGGCATTCTTCTTAAAATTCTGGTTGTTTTATTGCATTTAATTGAGTGTGTAGTATCTGGTATCTCCCTTCCCTACCAAGCTGTCATTATTCCAACCTCTGCTGCTTTAATGTATTGCTTTGCTAGCATTTTCTCGCATTAATAATGTGGATCATCTATCCTCCCAGATCACCRGGTGTGATCTTTCCTTTGTGAAGTGCACGGAGCATTTTTAACAGTCTCCCCATAACTATTTATTCAGGACCTTCAGAACTGAAAGAAACCAGGAGCTCGCAGAGAAGTCCTTGGGTAGGAATTTCGTTGGGCTTGGACACAAGGGATACATATGGTCTCCTGCAGCCTGGAAACACCAACCCTTGTCAAGGCACTTGCTGGAACACCCAAAAATTAGTGTTAGCTGCCCCAGGACACCGATGCTGAGGGCAAAGCCAAGCCATGGGATGCTCGTGGGGCAGGGAAAAGCGACAGGAGCTCCAAGGTGCAGCAGCCACAGCCAGTGCCCGCAGGTACCACGACCACTGTTCTTCGCTCAGGCAAAGCGATGGGAATTAAAGTGCGAGTCAGCTCATGCTTTAAGGCCCTATAATCAAAATTAATGATACTTACCTCTTAAAACCGTTAGGTAGTTAGTCAGAACACACCTAGTTAAGCAAATGCGGTTGGCAAAGATTTATTGCGGTACCAAAATAGAGGAAGGATGAAGAAGGAGGGAGGTGTGGGGGGAAAGGACGGAATACTGGAATTTGCACTRGGGCTTCACAGCTTTGCTACCACCTACAGAAAAAAGAAATAGTAGAATTCATTTCAGTTGTTTTCATATTTCTCACCAAACAGCTCATATTCTGATTATCAGAGGTTGCCAACTGCATTCATTTTTTCATCCCTCACTTAGATTTACTCAAATTTTAAACAAATTGTGCTTGGCTTTTCCCCTGCTTTGTGTGCTCCATTCTTGTCTAACACTTATGTGACCAGGTGATGTTGATGGGATTGCTCTGAGGAAATAAATGTAGAAATAGTAGATTATAGAAATGAATTAATTATATATCCCCTCATTTGCAAAACAAGTAAATAGAAAAGAATTAATGCAATAAAACATCTGGGTAAGCCAGTGTGCCCCAARTACCTCCAATCTTATTTTGTGCAAAATTATCTTATATCCCTTGTGAACCTATACATGCAGAAGAAGCATATGCTTTGGTAAGAATTTTCACCTTTTTAATAGCAAGAAAAAAATGAGAAAAAAATCCTTGCTAAAATGATCTTCAGGCTGTTGGTCTGTAGGTTCTCTGGAGAAGGCTGCTGTAAAAAATGGTAGTCTTATAGGMCTAGAGCTGATATTATTCTTATTTTTCCACTTAAACTGTCGAGATTGGCAATCACAGCAGTGCACTGCAAGTGCAAATCGCAAGGTTTTCTTTTTAGAGATCTATCACCTGTTTTTATGTGATAATTGGCTGTGGACACAGAGGATGGAAGGGAATGGGAGGACAAAGAAGCTTGCAAGTGGATTTTGGGCTGCTGTTGTCTCCATGCAGCTGGGCACAAGCTGTGGCTCTGGATACGGTGCTGCTCCCACCCATCTCATTCCTGTTACATCCAGGCCAGCTAATCCCTCCCAGGGGTCAGGTGAGCAAAAATACCCTCTCCTCTCCAGACAAAACAAATTCCCGATATTTTAGATGTAAAATGAGATTGAGGGATTCAAAATTTTCTAGTTACTTCATGTTAATTTTTGTTGTTTTATTATAATATAGTAATTTGCCAAGGAGTWCATAGTATGGTATATAATACCACAGCAAAACTTTTTAATACTTTTATAAAGGACTATTTAACCGATTCCTCACAAAGTCCACCTTCTTAATAATACATCCTTCATCATTCTTATTTCCATTCCCATCTCAGGTGGCTACATTGGCTACGTGAGATACCTGTAGCTACACGAGCTACATTCTCACCATCCCCAAAGCATTGCAGCTACACCGGGCAGAATCACAGATAGCTCAGGCGTTTCCAAATCTTTAGGGGAAAACAGATGTCTTTGGAAGTATTAAAGTATTATGCTTTTCATTTTTTTCAGAACTGTTTAAGAGGTTGTAAAGAAAACTTTAATTTTAAACTGGCACAGGTGGCTTGGCTCTGCTTGGGGATACCAGTAGAGGTCAGTAGCTGGCTAAGTACAGACCGGGTTGGCAGGACAGAAGGTTAATTCCTTCAATTAACTGTCAGGCTAGAGGATATTTAAACGTTACTGTGGCAGACTGCTCCTCYTTTCAAAGTACAGCAGCATTCACTTCAATCTGCTACGAAAACTGTGGATTGGTAGGTTGCACCAATTATATTAAAAGGGAAATTTTCTAAAAGCAATTCTGCTATTGCAAACTATTCGAAAGCTTTCATTAAATATTTTCCGTTTTTTAATTGCAAATGTCAGCTTGGAATGGCCCTGTTTTTAGTGCAGTTAGTGGTATATTAGTTTTTTCCCTCCGGGGAAGAAATGAATTTTACCCTCCAATCAAATGCAATACAGCGCATTTAAATAATTGCAAACCCATTTTTCTGTCCCGCCTATGAATGAAAACAGAGATTTATTCTTTGTGCTTGATTTGTAGTTTTTCTTCCCCTTTCTCCTTTCTACAATTGTGAGTTTGTATTCTTAAAATATAAATGAAATGATTTCCCAATGCAATTTTTGAATTCTAGTTTTCAGAATTGTTTTCTGACTAATCTATATGCATTTATGTGGAAGGGGCGAATATAGAACTGATGAAGGACATTAGCAGTGATATGTATTCAACTTATTTCTGACTGATTGATATAATTGTAGCTCTCCAAGTCCCATTATGATTGCAGGATTAGATATATACTTTTATTTCAGTTTAGTATTTTGGAGCAGTGCCTCCTAAAAAGAAAGAAACTAATAATTTCTTGTCACTAGCAAGCTGTAATTATGTGTATTTATATTTAACCTTTCCAGATACTACTCATTAACATTTACTTGGCACAGGCACAGTTTACATCTTGATATACTGCTTTTGTGTAAAGGTTGTAGTGAGTCTGGTAATCTTTGACTAGAAAGTGTTCCCCTTCCTGAGAGTCAGGAATATAAACTGAGAGTCAAAATATAAACTTGGGAGAACATGGGTTGGAGTATGGACTTTATCTTCTTCTGATAAACAACCAATTATACTAATTATAGCAGAAAAAAAAAAAAGGAAAATCCAACAATCAGTCCAGTCTTCATGCCATTACACTCTTCACCCCTCTTAGATTCATAGAATGATTTCTGTTGTAAGGGACTTCTGGAGCTCATCTGCTCAAATCTGTGCTCAGATCAAAGTCACCTGCAAAGTTAAATCTAACTTCAAGACTGGATCATATTGCTCAGGGCCTTGGTCACTCAAGTTCAGAATTTCTTTCAGATTGGAGACTTCACAACTCTCTGGACTCCTGTTTCTTGCTTAAGAAGGTTTTTTTGTTTTTTTGTTTTTTTGTTTTTTTATAGCTAGTCAGAACACTTCTTGGAGTAATTTATGCCCATTGCAACTTGTCCTTTCATTGTTTACAGAGTCTGGCCTCTTTCCTTTTCTTTTCTTTCTTCTTTTTCATGAGGTAGTTGAAGACAGCAATTAGAAGGGAAGGTGTCAGGAGGACCAAGACTGTTATACTACCCAACAGGAAGAAAGCAGTGAATTAAATGTATATTGGCATTTATTTCTGACTTCTAGAAGGCTATTTTAATCTTATCAAGGTGGATTTCTTCAATGCAATCAATTGCTTGAATTGCATATAATTAAAGGTTCACCATGGCACAGTACACTTGGAACTGAATATTAGGAGCATGGTATTTATCATTGTATTCTTGCATGGTCTTCCTGTTCAGTATTTACTTTTTGTTTGTTTAAAAGATAGAGAAGGTAGTTGAAAAAGAGTTGGTAATGTTTCCTTTTATAGCTTTCTGTTTGCAAGCATCCTTTGCTTTTAATGTCGAGGAAACATTTTCTTTACAAGTTATGCTTGTGGTTGACTTAAACACTAAGTGCTTTGGGGGCTGTCTGGTATTCTGGTAGCCACCACAGTATTATTAATTTGACAGTTTTGAAGACTTTCTCCTTTGAAGCACACAATATGCACTGAATATTCTTTAGTTAGCTTGTCCAAATAGTACCCTTACTATGCTATTATTAAAGAAAAAAAAGTAAGTTGCCTCAGATAATGGTGAGCTCTCACAGGGCGACAATTTTAAAGAAAAACCCGCAAAATTGTGTGATCAGCATTTATCTCTCATAGCAGATATATAATATTTTTAATCRGGGTAAGGTTTACTGCCAGTTAATTGTCTGCTTAAAGCCAGTTGGGTAACAAGTAATATAATAAGCTATGAGTCATTAGAGATGATTAGTAAAGTTCTTTGAAAGACTGAGGTGTCAAGTGACAAAGTGAAATTCTTCACCAAAAWTTTGAGGATTTCAGAAGGACCAGGTATTGTGAAGAAAATGAAAAGTGAAGTGGCTAAAAGACTCAAGAATTTGTCAACTTCTTTTAAAAAAAGTGACTACATCATATTTACTCAAATAAATGGCAAAATGGTAAAACAATTAAAATTGTAAGCAATGAAATGGCTGCTAGTGATAAAGAAAGCACCTTGTAGAGTTAATTTTGCAGCGCTCCACGTAGACTTAAACTTGCAGGAAAACTTGCAGGAGAAGGGACAGTGTGGTTTGGCTGAGTGACTGACCTGGGAATTTTCACATAGGATCACATCTTCTTAATCTATTTTAATTCCCTCCTGCCCTACCAAACATTATGTCCCTTAAAGGAGACCATAGAAATGTAATGATACGGAGCAGTAGTAGTTCTTAGAAAAATAAATAAATCAGACAAAATAGCTGCTCTCTGGAGGGTGGAAAACCCTGATTAAGGTGCAGACACGTAATCAATTACTCCTTATCAATTACTCTGCAGGTCTTGCAGTGCTCTCTGCCCGTTTCTGTACCCTAACTCCCCCCAAGATGCCTTTTCCATGGCCCTTCTGCTATCTTTGCCAGGATAATGACTCCCCTCAGCTTCACAGCTTCATTTTGTGCCAGGAATGGTGCACTGGCCTTCATTTCTGCTGGAATTTCAGGAATGGCAGGTCCTGAGGAAGGCCAGCTATGTCGGCAGCGGCACTCGCCTTGCCTTGCCTGAGGTAAGGCCCCATTCAGCCATTTTCCATMTTTTAGTTGCATTAAGCAGCCGTTCCACCACATCAGGGCCTCYGAGAAGCAAGGGGGGTGATCCACGAGCAGGGTGTTTGTGTCGGCGAGATGGTGGTGGTGAAAACAGGGCCGATGGTGAAAGAGACACTGCCTGCACCAGGGACAACATGGCGCCAGGGACAAGATGGCTGCTGAGAACATGGCGCCGTGCGGAGCGGGGATGGGGCGGTGGTGAGGGAGCAGGGCGCACGTAAACAGGACRAAAACAGCCTTTTTTCACCCTCCAGCTCTTTTGACTTGCCCAAATAACACAACAGTTGGTTTTTTTCATACATTCTTCAGGCAAATAAAGTTTTCACCATTTGGGTGAAAAAAATGCCCAATTTGGGGCTATTCCTAATGCTAATTCCTAATAAACCATAACTAAACCCTGGAAAGAAACTCATCCTTGGGGCACCAGGAGAAAGGCACTCGCTGGGCTTTGGGGGAGGTCGGGCAGGGGTAGATGCTGTGGGATCTTTTCTTTTTAGGGTCAATAGGTAAGAAAATGGCTAATGCGTCTCTTGGGCCCCGCAAACGTTTCCTTTTCAGAGTATAATAATCTGATAAAATTCCAGAAGGCTCTGAGAAAGTCTTCTGGCCTTTTTTTTTGCCACTAGGTGGCATACGAGATGTAAAAATCCACTTTATTAATTTATTTTTTGCTGCGGCTTAAGTTTGTGGGAGAAGCTGGACAAAGCCAAGCAAGAAGTGAACATATTTAGAAGTAAATATTAAACAGTGCGGAGAGGATTTCAGCCAGCAATAGCTTATATCCTCCTCCTCCTCCACCCCTAGTTGGTGAACATAGACCTATCCCATTTCAAAGGGGGTTGTTGGTTGCTCAAAAGTATTTTTTAAAAATCATGTCACTTCTCCAGGCCCTTAAACTTTAGCAGATCTTTTCTTGACCCTGCCAGGAGTTCTGCTCACAAAAAGCATAAATTTGCAAGATCTGAGGTTGCTCCTGCAGTGGTGGAGGAGACTTCCCTGTGCAGTGATGTTTTCCCCCAAGGAAGAGGAAGAAAACACTCATTGATGGGAAACGCCATTATGTTTAATGGCCCACTTACTAGAAATTAAACATGTCATAGGGTAATTATAATCAGATCTTCTCTAGGAGGCAGAAGCTGTAGCAGTAGCACAAAGTGGAGCTTTGGTGAACCAGGACTTAATGGGTATAAGGAGTCTGTGGTACAAATGCTACAAAAAGGCAGTCTCAAACTGCTTTAATGTTATCCATTCTGCTTGCGTCTGATCAAGTGTTGTGTCCTCACCAGCATCTCTTTYGATTTTGGATTCCAGCCACTCTCAGTGAGCAGTTCTCCAGACAACAGCACTTGGCATCACTTAATTGGGATGCTGTAGTGGGGCAGAACTTGAGTTCTTGGCTAATAGCCTTTAAGACCAGCAAGTTGGGTAATGAAAGGAGTATTGATCTGTATACCAGTGAACATTGTTCCTTTGAGTTAAGGAGATTGATTCATGATATTCTGGTCTCTTCAGTTTAAAGATGATAAAAGACTTAGAATAGGTCAGGGATTCACAATTTGGTGAGCTAGTATCAAGCAACACAAATTCCAGTTTTTATAAAATGTCTTCCACTTGCCTAGTATGACTCAAAGGCAGAGATAAACCTTTGATGCGGTCCTTATTTCATCAATATTTTATATCTTCCCCCACCGGATACATTGTTGCAGCTTAATGACAATCCTTAACTTAAATATCATGGGAAGAGCAACAGACCACAGAAATCTTTTGATTGCTGCGACTGTGCAGAGCGGCTACGAAAACAGCACAGGGTGCTGAATTTCAGATATCATCGAGATCTCTRAAAAGACATTGCATATTGTTCCTGCTGTAGGCAGCTGGATCAACAGAGCATTTGAAGACCATGGCTACAGCGGGCTCTGCGTTGGTATCAGTGGGACAGTCTAACAAACTGTGATAGCTTTGTCGCCTTTTGAAGAAAACTCCAGCATTGTGTTTAATAAAGGAAGAAACAAACCCCAGATCTACTTAAATGCAGCAAAATCAAATCCAGTTTTCAATATAAAGAACTAAAGGCCGACCTTTTTGTATAAGCACGATGCTCCTCTGAAGCATGACTTCTTTTAAGATGCCCAGTTAATCAACATTCTAGAGAAAAGAGAAGTACATTTTTCATAAAAGCACAAAGTGAGAAGAAAATACCAGCAAACCCTTAAGAGTGCTAAATAAATAGCTTCAAAACACATTGTACTTGCAGAAGAGAAAACATTTCCTGCAGAAGTAATCTGATCTAACTATCCATTCTATCACTGACAGTCACTTTCCTGTTAACGCTACAGCTTTTGACTGGGGGAGTTTTTGAAAGAAAATTATTAAAGCAGACCCACAAAGCTAAAATGGAAATATGCTGTGTTCAAAAGTGCCAGCTATGAATTTATCATTCAGGGTAGTTTTCTGATGGTTTCTTTTTGATAGTTTGTATTTTTTTTTCTTTTGTGCTCTTTGTTTTTTCTTTACCAGCATAATATCATCGGAAAAATATCAAGCTAAGCCAGAGTATGCATATAGATTTTCAGCTATATTATATTTATCCTAGAAAGAACTGGGACTTATGTTTCTCTTCCTGATTCCTTGATTAAGTCATTGTAGAGAACTATTATACAGCAGTTATTGTGGGGCACTAGAGAAAAATAGCATTGATAAATTTGGCTGCGTATTAACTTTAATTCTTCCTTTGTCATGGAGCATTTATACGTATATATACGTATGTATATATACGTATATTCAGTACATATTTATATATGTATATATGTACTGAACATACCATTCTGGAAGAGATGATTTCTAGAACTGGTGGGTAACTGAGGAGGAAGGTCCTTAAGACTGATCAGGAAATCTTGCATTTTTGCTTAAATAACTCTTAATTTTAAAGAAGGATTGGGTTCTGTTCTAATCTTACCCAATATCTTTGCTTAACTTATGGGTTATGTGCAAACATATGTGGGTGCATGTRTTTGTAGGCAGGACAACCCCTTTGCACTGTTTTTACTCCTACTCCTGCTCCACAGCTGTAGCCTGCAGTGCCTACCATTTTTGTTTAGCATGCAGTTCGTATCACACACGAAAATGAGGACTGTATTATTTTACTTCCAGGTCCGTAATCCCAGGCAGAGGGAAACAGAGGAAGAAAAATAATGAAAAGGAATATTAATTAAAATTTTAATTTGTTCAGCGGAGCTTTGGGAAATGCAGGAATTTTCACTCCCCATACATTCAGCAGAAGCAGTGCATGTCAGTGTAAATACAGCTGCAGCAGTCATGCATGCTGTTATTAGCTAGTCATTACACATAAAAACTAGAATAAAGATGGTTTAATTAAACGTCTTCCCCATTCCATGCCTTTCCGTGCAAGATATGTATTCCAATAGAAAAGGAGGCTCCGTGTGCATCCACCACAATGCACTGTACATACCTTGGCTTTCCTTCTGTAATGCTTCTGAAAAATAAGAATTGATTTTTTTTTTTCCACATGTATCTATTCAATGCTTCTGTGCAAGGTGGGAGCAAAGCGCCGAGTATCGATTTCAGCAGGAACTATGGTACTTTAATCTGACCCCGCGACTGTAACTTATTCAATGTATAGTGCAGCATCAACTGTCTGCATAAATATACCACGATGATCCAGTGTTGGTGGCAGTAGATCTTGTATAGAGCAAAAATGGCAGTTTTGGTGGTAAAAATGAAGCAGATCATAATTTTAAGATGCTAAAAGATTACAGAATGATTCAAAATTGCATATTAATAGGTTAGGAGATTCAGCCACTACGTTGTCATAGATTGTTCTTGAAGCCTTTAAAGTCTAATTTGAATGGTCATTTCCATAAACTGGAGCCAGTGAAACTATGAAATATTTCAGTATACATACATATACATACATATATAAATAGTAGTATATTGGGATGTTAGATGATGATCCAGCACTGGACTTACTACCCTGCCATTTTTCATGCAAGTGCTTAATATACTTAGAAAGGAATAACGAAAGGAMAAGAACTGATTATTTTAGGTTAGAGAGTAACCCGATTTAGGAAGCCTCCCACAAATACTAAATGCTTATATGACACCAAAAAGCTAACTCAGCAATTTAATTGTACAAGATGTTTGTAATTAGATGCTAAATGGGACACACAGTGATGGAATTGCTGTTTACAATAGTTCTGTTTTTAAGCAAAAATGGGTGTTAATACAATGTAGTGCTGTCTGAATGTCCAGCCCAGGAGAAGACCTCTGTGCAAAATCCTTTGAGGTAGATGGGGTGGTCAACAGGGAAAGAGGCAGAAGTGAAACCTGTTTTCCTTGAATGATCACTCAGTCAAGCCTGGAGTTTGCAAAGCAGTGTGAAAGCTTTGAATCTCCATCTGCTTCAAGTCAACTCGTGTGAAAGATGCATGGTAATGGAATGAGGTTAATAAAATCYCACTGAAAGATAAAGAAAGTCCCTGTAATCTCACCAAAAACATATTACGCATATCTCTTCCAAAATTGAATTCGAGCATCTATTTCTTTATAGGTTTTCTAATAGGAGAAATAAGTTCTTGCAGTAATCCTGTATTGGGATTGTGTGAGAAAATATAGCGTGGTATATTTGTGCTAAGCCAATTTACAGGGAGGTTCATTTATTTGAGTGAATATAGCGTGGGTTGCAATTAATGGCACTACTTCTCAGTGGCAAAAACTTAYACCGTTCTTGGCTCTAAACCTCAGTGTTCCCCGGAGATTCAAATGAAATCATGTAACATAATTTATGTTTTTATTTGAGGCTCTATCTAATCTAGCATGCAATTCCTATGAGCGGCCTTGCCATTGAGAACTGGGACTATCAGTGCCACTTCGAAATGCAATTTTTTTTAATACAGCCATACCTTTCTTTCCAACTTTGGAGTATATTATTCTTCTCAGTCACTCGTCCATGCAAGCCCCCAAAAGAAACAGATTCTTGGAGGTGAGAAAGAAACCCTTATCACTCCAAATTTTAGTACACAGAATCCAAGAGAGAGAAATGCTTTCTGAACATTAAAAGTCAACTGGCACTGTACTTTAGGAAGAAAGAAGAAAGCGGGGGAGGATTTACTTGAAAGTTTCACAATGGAAGTGCAGGGTGGAAAACATCATGTTACAGAAATAGAAAAGAGATCAGATTTATCTGGGATTGCTTCTTTAGACTCCCAGGTGAGCTGAAATCTTCCCTGGAAATGGGTTAGGCGCTGTTAAGTTTTATTTAATAACTCGCTATATCGTACCTAGCTTTGATATAGCAGTTCATATATAGGGAGCTCAAGGCACTGATTTTTACTGCGCTCACATAGATAAGAGAACTAAGGTGCTGAAAAGGGGGCGAAAGGTAACRGCAAGTGTCAGAAGGAGCCCGGCAGCTTCTGGGCTGGAGGTTAGAATTTCACCTTGATCCTGTGTGATTAGGATCACATGTGATTAGGGTCCTATTCACATAGGCTAAGGCTAAGTTAGGCTAAGTTACCTTGCAACTAAGACTTGTTGCACCACGGAATAGCTGTTTCTAGTGCGAACGAAGTGCTGAGTGATGAATGAGGTGCACTCGTACGTATGTGGTTTTAAATATACATTAGAGAGCGGGCTCGCTCGCAGGGTGAATAAACTGGCAGCTCTGGCACACGGAGCTGCAGCTTTAGCCCTGCTGCTTTGCTTGCACTCTGGGCATCCCCTGAGCCCRTATCCCTTTCCTCATCCAGCAAAGCTGCTGAAACAAACGGCATCGGGAGCACATCCGTGACATGCTCAGGATGGTTTCAGAGGAATTAAGCCTGTGGCCTCTCTGCATAACAAATCCTTAAATTTCCAAGTGCACCGTTTTACAGCAGATCAAACCATGCGACTCGGGACACAGCGCACTCCATTGCTAGCTTTTAAAAACTTCCCTGGGTTTTTAATGGCATTTTAAAACATTAATAACTTCTTGGTCCATTTTCCCCCTTGAAAGCATAACACGGATCCT